GCCTCAAAATGAAATCCATGCATGTAACGTCTTAAACCGAAACCAATGGCAGCATGAGTTGAATGTGTGCTTTTTTTTCGGCGTGAAATTTTTGTCTATCCCGTATAGTTCTTCTCATTCGGGGGTTAAAATTGATCTCAATTCTTCGTCGTTTTCACTACAATATCTTCGTAAAGATAAAAAATTATATTACTCAAATTATGCCACATCAGTGCAGTGTTTTGCATTTCTATTGTTGTCGCTGATCATAATTTTACGAATGAATTGAGTGAGCCCGAAATTTTAACTTAATGATTAATTTGAAATTCTGTGCACGCATTATCTAACTTTCATTTTGAGGTTTGGCACGACCAGAGGCTGCCGCATGCAAACCGCGATCGAGGAAGCGACGCTACGGGACCCTGGCACGGCTCCAACCGGCGCCGTCGTAACCTGCTGCTCTCGAGCCTCGCGATGTACGATCATTGAGACTTTTATGAGCTCTTTTCCGATTAATTGAATGGTTGCTCTGAAACACGCGTCGCCTCTCATTCTCCTCTGCTGGCTTTTATTGTGCTGGCATAAGAAGCACCCGATACATCCATTCTTGCGACCGGCCCAACATAAGAGGGTGTGGTTTGAACTTATCGATAAGAAGCGAATTTTTCCAAGCTATGTTGAGTTACTACAAAAATTCATCCATTATTGTAAATGGATTGAGCAATAAGTTTCATTAGAGTATTTTACTTATCGGACGCATATGTCGTTAAAATAATCGATTTTTTTCCTTGAATGATGTGAATTAGTACCTATTTCAACACCTTGATTCTCGAACTCTCAAATTCACGGAATTATTAGACACGGAATTAATGGACGCATATGTCGTTAAAAGAATAGATTTTTTCCCCTTGAATGATGTGAATTATTTCAACACCTGGATTCTCGAACTCTCCAATTCGCGGAATTAATGGTTTAATCGACGTCTGAATAGAAAGCTTAAAGTGCTATTATTCAATTGAAAAAATTTCAGAAAGTTTACTTCCAAAAACAGTGGATTTAATGAAAGTGGTTCATCACGTATATAATTGATATTTTATACATCAGTAAACATTTGAAGTACTGGTATCGTTTAGTAATTATTTTGGTACGCTTATTAAATATTTTAGTAAGACCGAGTGTGAGAATGACGATTTTGGCGGCTGCTCACCTCTGCTGTGCAAGATGGATGTTGCTTTTCCTGTTCATTAAATATGGCTGGTCGTCCCCAGGCTTCTGCTTAGCTTCCTGGCGTGAATGCGTCGCGAGCTCGTCCGGCCTTCCCACGACCAGCAGCAGCAGCGACTATGTTTTCCATAATATTACTGCCTAATAAGTATCCTCACTAATGACTTCATCTCTGAGCTAACCTCTTGGCCCTGCTAGCTGTAGGGCTCGTATGCATGCTACGTCTACCTTACACAGTCTTAATGCGAGTTTATTTAGTGTTTAACTGCGGCTAATTTCGGATATGGCGTCTATGATTTCTGTGCTATGTATTTTGCATTGAATGTAAGAACTTCCGAGGATTTTTAGGCTCCTTTAAGTATTTTATTTCCTCTTACGATTTTAATGTTTAATTACTAATGTTTTTTTATTATATTAGTGTAAATTAGAATTGTATGTATTCTTTCCGTTCGTAATGTCATATGTTACTCATATGTTACTCTGCTAATAGTTTATTATATTATAATTTTGTGTAAATTTAGGCGTGAATTTCGATTCATGGAAGCTCGACTTAACACGAGAATTGAGCGCTTGTTTTATTTATTAGTTAATTTATAACTTTTATTATTAATAACCGTAGACGACAAATTAGCCTTCATCAAAATAAATAATTCTTCTTGAAATGTAGCGGGTAATATAGTTTAGCAGACGCCGGCAGGCCGAGGCTCCCTGCTACTTGGCAGCGAGCTTCCACGAGAATATTAACCGCAGATCTTATCAGTCGACTTCCAGGAACATCAGTCTGGCCTTTGCTGTATAATTACTTGAGTCATAAGAGATTTTTATTGCCCACTCCAATTGCATCGTGCGTTTCTGCTCATATGCCGCTTCCTCTTCACTCGTTTTGCATCAGTCGGATGCACGGAATTTGATGAACTGCTTTGTTCTTGAGTTATGAATATTACAAGAAATGCACGGTATCATTAAACCAAAAGTGTCTGCCTCTGCATGCGAATATTTTTTGACCCGCTATGAGAACCTATACTCTGCTCTGCTTGAAAGTCGTCGTTATTTAAGCAGTCTGAACTACACATTTGAATTTATTTTGTTCGTTCGATATTTCTTTCCGATAAATTGCAATTTTTGTTTCCAACTTTTTTTTTGTTCGCGATGCCTAATGCAATCACTCTAAATTATAGTTTCGTTGCATAGTTCGAGTTTTTACTCTAATTCAGGCATTTCCTAATATTGCACGCAACTTTCAACAATCTGCATAGAAATTTGACTATCCTGAAAAATTTCTTATACCTTTATAATTCTAATCTCCGCAGAAAACTGAGATTCGAGTTATTCTGTTTTATTTTTAAATCGTTTTTTGTTGTGACTGCATGAATCCTTGCAATACTCCCACATAGCACGCACAGGCTCACAACATAGCCGATTGCACTTTTTTGATCTTAACTGTTTGCTGCATTCAAAGCTTTGACCTTCAACCGTCACAACGGCGAACTAATTAGCATACGATGTGCTGCACCGAGCTCTAATCCTCAGTTTCATAGACAATTTTTCATGGTTGTTTGATGCAAGGTAAGTTGCGTGGCTCCCTAATTTGTAATTATTGTAGGAAACGTATTTGTTTGGATATGCACTGAGCGCATAAATCTCGCTCACACCGCAATATCGTTAATAGAGTAAAGTGCTGGGTGAATTTTAATTTTCGATGCTTCGTTAAGGTCTCTTTTAAATTCCATCCTGCGCCTTGGAAAATTTGATAATAAGATTTTTTTTCAGCTCGTAGAACTTGATTACCGTGATCAAGATTGATTGCCGAATGGAATAAAGTTTTCGTAGCACGAACTCTTTTTTTTAGCGTGAGATTATTACTTGACATTCTTGGGGCTTGTGTTCGTTGAACTTTCGTCTGCTGCTCCTTTAACTGACGTGCCGAGCTTGCCATTAGCACCCATTCATAAATTTTCAATTCCTGCCGCCCATTTCTGAGATGTTTATTTGAGTTCGCCTTGATATCGTTTTCATTCTAATGCGTTGCAATGTAAATTTTTAATTTAAGTTAATCTCACGTTCAAGCTGCACATCTCGCGCTTAAGCCTATGTACTATGGGTAACTTCGCCAACTTTGACTTTGTGGCGAAGCTTCTTCTTTTCATGCGGCCATAAATTACTCTTTGTTGGATTCAAGTTGGAAAACCTTGTTGCGATTTGTACGCTAATCTTCCTTTGTAGTTCTGTGGCTCTTACACGTGTAATTAAACTGATATTAATCACTGTCAAAGTACACATTTTTTTAACGACGCTGAGAAGTACAGGTTTCATTTATCTCTAAATTATTGAACTATGCTCATATGTATGCTAATACATTTTGTGTGTCTTATTATTGTTCAGATAATGATCGCTTCTTGACGCGCCGCCAATGTAATGAATGCACAACCTTTCTTATCTCCGATTGTGGAGCAATTTTTTTTATCACCAAAAATTAAAAAAATTCTTAAATTGTAGGATTAATACCGTGCCTTAGTATTACTTTTTAAGAATCACTTTGACTTTAGCTCCTACTTTCATATATTGCAGATGAATATTTGAGATTTCACTAGTGTATTCTTTCAAATAATTTTTCTTATTGGTTCTATCTATTTTAGAAGTCGAACATCCCAAAGTTTAATTTCTCCTGCGTGAAACTATTAGCAGGAACAACACAATCAATCTAGCATAAAAGGCATTCTTAATAAGTACTAAAATTCCCGTAATTTCAAACCAAATATCCATATCATTGTCCTATTCTTGTTACTGTCCATTACGACTTAGAAAATTCGTATTGGTATCGGTAACTACTAGCAACTAACATTTAAAACTATCTTAATTGAACACATTCTTAATGAGAATTTGTTGGGTAATATTTCAGAATTGGAAACCTAACTTTGATCTCGTCTGTCTTGTTTCTTGGGACTTCACTCATAAATTTCGTATCTACTATCTTTGTTGTTATCTTTCATCGCGAAAGCATCCATCACGCACGGCTGCTGTCTTTGAGCTGCGCTTTGAGAGCAAGCCAAAGATAAGTGTGTTTTTCTCCCCATTTCTTCGATGCAATTGAAAGTTTTTAATGCGCTACAAATCTTGGAACGGAACAGCGGTTGACGGCAGCCGTCCCGCGCAATTTATGGACTCAAGAAGCCTCGGCTAGAGCCCGCAACTTCTTTACAAAACTGGAGGCGGCGATCGTGTCCGACACTCGTTACGCATGTATAGCCGGTGTCTACCTTTTCATGGGTGTCTTTAATAGGATTTTTGGTGGCAGGTAGTTGGACCGTGAATTCAGTTGTAGTCTTATCAGTTAATGTATAAAAGAGTGGTCCTGGACTGTTGTACGAGTCATTTGCCATATATTCTATATTTATGCATTACTATTTCGAAAAAAAATTTGCTCCTATGGTTATTTATTTATGTTCATTATAAATTTTATAATAATATGCCCAAATATCATGAGCCCATTACGCTGTTCATTTAAGTTGTTCAACGACATCTTTCCAAAATTTATTTGTTGCTTTACCTAAATGTCCCTCCATATAGTACTTCTCCGTCTATCAGTGTAGGAGACAATTCTAATCTATAATTTTGTCGTTCTTTAATCTTCTTTTAAATTCAATTCATCTTGATTACTTTTAACAGATGTTGAAGTAAAACCTTCTTGAGCCATAAAAATGTTCAATTTACGTGCCCCACAATACTAAAAAAACGTGTAATAAATTTTTCATGTAATTACAAATGTAAGGATTGTAATTATCATCATCTTTTGCCAGGTGTCGAAGTATCGCGTAGAGCGCTGCTCCGCTCACACGGACTGCAACGCGTGTCTCAGCGCCCGGGACCCGTACTGTGGCTGGTGCTCCCTGGAGAAGCGGTGAGTGTCTGTTATTACATGGCTATGTTGCTGTTATTCTATTTGTTTGTTTTTATATCATTAGTTATATCATTTATATTAATTTAAATTGTCCTTTTTATGGGTTTCGCACTGAGTAGTCCCAGGCCACGCTGGAGCACTGCCACTATACCTTTTGCCCCCGCAAGCACGCCGGAAATTTCCCGATCAAAATTTCGTTATCTGATTTTTTTTGCTTCAGCGTCACGTCATAACTGTTTTTTAAATAGTGCTTTTGCTTCAATCACGAACTCGCACAAAACTTGGACCATTGATCTGCATGCAAAAAGGGTATTTGTATCGGCTGCACGAGTAATATGCAATTGTTAAAATTGTTAGATCCCTCAATGTTGTGGAGAATCTGTTTTTTTACAGCTAAAGAACATCTACATTTTTTACATATAATTTTCATTAATGTAAAATCTGGGAGCCTCTGCCAGGTACGTCGAACCTTTGAGGCCATGGGTTTCGGAACTAATGTAAGTCACCACATATAAATAGTCCAGCAGATTGGCGCTTTGAAGGATCGTTTTTGCATCCTATAATTGCCAGCTTTTAGCCACTTGAGCTCTGTGCCACCACTATGCAATGAAGACTAATCGCTTTGAGTAGTTCAAACTAAACCAATATTTAGTGGAAATATTTTGTTGACGTCAGATTTTTTCGCAATTATTCAACGATTGATAGATGTGTGGTTACATTCTCAACTTTTGCTTTGTTTTATGCTACCGCTGCAATGTAGGATTTGCCTAAAAACAAAGCATTGGAGACACGACTTTTAAGGTTGCTGCATGCATGCAACAACTGCTCTAGAAGGGACGTTCAGTTTGGGAGGTCTTAGTTGTGCCCACCGAAATGATCGTTCTTACGGTTTTATGATTGATCGAATGGAACGTCGTTGCTCCTCCGGTGCGGTGGTCCCTAATCATCTTTGAGTTGGTCTTGGCGGGGGCTCGTTCTTTTGATGGTGTGCTTTGTGCTCTTAATTACGCCACTGAATTGTCGGATCGTGACCGAGGTTATCTGCTGCTGAGCTCGACGGCAAAAAGTTCACCAACGAGTCTCGTGGATGAGCGGCGAGCGCTTATCACTGCAACACTTGTACGTACTTGCACGAAAGCTTGTATCGCGTTGTCCGTACATTGCGGCGGCCGGGTGTCCAACACCAGCTACATCATGATGAATCTTGCCCGACGAGGCCCCGACACTCCTTTGGAATTTGGCGAAAGTGATCAAGACGCCGATTAAATGAAAGTTTTATCTATTTCTCTTGGGCGTTTCTTTGTCTTCTGATTAATGCACCCTTGTAGCGGTGTTCATCTGACCGCTTTTATCGAAATCACATTCGATTAATTGAAAGATATCGACTCGAGTTGTGTTCTTTTTATTAACCTCTTCCACGCCATGCGTTCGACTCCTTGCCTCGACTCTCTAATCTCAAGAATTGATTTCGATGTAATGCAAAAATCATCATAGGAACTAACATTTTTCAAATGTGAAACTTCATTAAGATAAGTATTCTCCGATTTTAAAGAATTAGCGTGCCTCCCTATTCCTTCTTGGAACCCATATCCGTTGTGGTAAGTTATGTACAAGCAAGGCAGGTTTCTTCAGATAATAAACACCAGAATTGCATTAATCGATCAATAGAATTTTTATGAGAATAATTGCGTGTCATGACTCATGATTACGTCAGGAAGACGCTCTGTGATGTCTCAATAATCTGCTTCTCTTCAGTGGCTGCCCAAATGATAGACCAGGTCGGCCGTGACTGAAGTCCATCTTCCTGTGGCTGCAGGAGTGTCGATACTCCCACGTCCATCACATCTCTTCGTCATCGATGATTTCCTAATAGCACGCTACCGCATGCCTAACTAATAATTAGCTAATAAATCCCCACTGCGTATTCCTTGACGCTAATAATGATCTAGAGCTCTGCAGTCCTGGCATTGTGCGTCAATCTTTCTTCTGCGCTTCCTCTACATCACGGTGACATATGACGGTGCGGGAGCCTCTCAAGTCAATGCCCTGTGTATTACTGTCAACGATGACAGTCAATTTCTTATCCCAGCTCAAACTGGAACACAGATTATTTCAAGACCATGTATTAAAGCTGTGTGCATTGTGCCGATCATGCGATGTAAACGATTGAATCATAACGCGTGCATTATGGTTGTAATAAAAGCATATTCTTTCTCCCACAGTCGAAATACGTCATTCAGAAGGACGCATTTGAAAAATTGTTCATCAACACGGCATTTCATTAGAATATTTTATAGAATTTTGTGATACATGTTTATCGAGCAGTAGGTAATATTTCTCCGAGCCTTTAATACCGTTAAAGTTAGTGGGTTTTAGGTATTCTCATTTGTTGTTGCTAATTTGGGATCACCGTAGGAGAAAAAATATTGTGGACAACTGTTGACCATGTGCCGAAATTTTATTTTTATTCTTCTCACTGAAATGTAGCTGCCCAACGGATGTTATCTAAATGTATATCTAAAAATTTTTGCAGCTAATAGTTTTTTTTTTGTTAATATTAAACCATTTACAACAAAAGCCATCCATCTGCCGAATGTTAATGATTTTTAGACAGCGTAAATCCTGATCTGGCTCTTCGTCTTGCCTCTGTAATTCCGAGTACTGAAGAAAAGTTCTCTGTGCTTCACCGAGGCATCCATCAGAATTAACCCCAGATTTTTTACTGCTGGTATTGACTTTTTATGGTTGTCAGGTCGTAACGTCCTGCTTTTCCATCTCCCTGCCTCCTGTTTTCCCGCGTATCGGGCAGTTTTTATCGTCTCGGTTTGCGGAGACGTCGAGCTTTCGCTGTTTGCGCGTCGAGCTTTCACAATTTCTTTCTGGCAAGATCGCGATAAGCTAATTCGAAGAATGCGACAAATTATTGGGCATCTAAATTTAGATTTACATTCTAATAATAATTATTGTCGGTGCCTAATTTAGACTAGACTATGCTCTGAAGTTTTATTCTTTTCGTGACCCATAGGATTAAGTTGTTCCAATCGAGTCCTGTTTTTTGATATAATGTTAGGTATTTTTTTAGGTTTTATGTGTGTCTTAGAATGATTTTAATCATTTTTAGATTGTCGAATTGATGATGGAGCTGGACTCCGAAACGTTTTCAATATCGACATGGTGAATTTGCTTGGCGTTTTCTTTGCTTTTAAATTCCTAATTTAGAATGCGATTTCCGTACCGTAGTGTGTTTTTGGTGTCATCAATTTTATTGTGCCTGTAGCTTCAAATCAATTTGAATTCAAATCGGATTAAGGTTTTCGATATTGCTATAAATTTAAAATAAAATATATAAAAATAAAATTAAAATAAAATATAAATTTGCTTACATCAAATTTATTGGCTCGGCCATTTCACGTAATTGCTGCATTTAAGTTTTAATTGCATTAGTTATTCTACTACATTTGTCGCAAAAATAGTCACTATAACATCCTACTAACATTTAATTTTAACAACACATAGGTCGTCGTATGGGGCCACTAGCCCAAACTACCGAGACGCTCAATTTCTGTTTACGTTGAATGGGAATGTACCAATGTTCATTCAAACTTTAACTGGACATCCTGAATTGTGTGCATGCTGAGGAGGAATATGCGGCTATGCTTCTCAAATTATTCATTTCTCTGCAGTCTCTTCAATAATTGCTTAATCGTGACTGGTCGACTGTCGGTTATAGCGTTTACCGATCATCTGCGTATGATTTTCAAGAGTATATGCTGCAATTGTGAGGCGTCTAGCGTATACGTGCAGTTCTCGTGCGCACCATTATCATTACCACGTCGTTATATTGCGATTTGCTCTTCATTGACCACCGAGCTATGGTACTTAACCCGCTCATTGCTCTTTTATGGGGCTTTGCATGAGTGGAGTCTTTTATCTGCGTGTGTCTAGAGCTATAATTTCTCGATGATCATCAGAGGACTCCATTGCGATTCATTTCAGCCAGGTTACTTCCCTGGCTTGTCTCTCTTCAAAAAATTCTTCTAATGAACTGTAATGGATCTACATTTGATCGCATCCACTTAACGATGAGTGATATAAGCTTGTGTTAGAATTCAATTGTAATTTATAGGCTGCGTTATTGGCGGTCAAGGTTTTTACATTTTTATTTTTCTTTAAAATTTTTTTTTAACTTCTTTTTCTTAAATAAATTTCACATATATCTCTTATGGATTATTAATAATTGAATTTAATTGCAGTTATTAAATCACATAACCCTTCTTCAAGTTGGATTCGATTTCATGCAAAATGCATGTGGCCAAACTAGGTTGCATGTCGAACTTACGTCCCGACTGCCGGAAGTTGGCATTTTATGCGCTTCAGAAGATCCATCTTGATCACTTTTACTGAGCTACAAATCCTGAAAGGTTGGAGTCAAGAATCTTTTTTGTTTACAAAGCCGTCGTTGTTTAGGGGCGTGCAATGGTTTCCGTGGGTGATCCTCTAATTGGGGCTCTCGACGCGAGAGTTTTGCGTCATGGCAACTGACTGGAGACGCACCAGAAAGTCCGTTGCTTTCTTCAACAGCGGATAATGATGGCTCTAATGACATGCCTGCTATCGTTGTTTTGCATCTAATTACTGAAGACTCCCCTGGAGTCGCTTCTCTGACCTTTCAAGGTTTTTTTTTTCTTCTACTTGCTGGGCTTTTCTTTTATTTGATCGCATCTTTCTTTTATTTTCGTAAAATCTTTCAACTTGCTTTTTTCCTTGCTAAATATTGCGTTTCTTCTTCTTTTTGCTGCAGTAAATAATATGATAAAATCGGCTTAGATCACGTATTGTTTCTTGATGCAGACACGGGGAACTAGCACCTATTTGCTCGTATCACTGAGCTGCATCTACCGTGTAGTATATGTACCTGGTGACTAAAAATTTAAAAACAAAGAATAGTCCACAAAAATTCATATCTTTATAGAAAACGTTTCGGAGTATAAGTGTTGACG